TCCAGTAGCATTGTTATCTTCATCTTCATCATCATCGTCTTCTTCATCTTCATCCTCGGCGTCCTCTTCAGCAATTGGAAGCGCTAAGTCAGGTAATCTATTCCTCTCATCTGTTTCTGAATCGATGTCTTGACTAGCCGAAGGATTTAGTTTGACATCGCTAGAGGCATCAAACTGCCCAAGTCGAGTTGAGTCGGAGTGCTCCACTGGCCTATTAGTTATTGACAAATCAGGACATGCTGGTAGCTCGACTTCAGAAGGAAGTGATTCAGGGTCGGGATTCAGATCCACCGCCAGCAGTTCCGGTTGTGACTTTAAATGATCCTCTATAAGTTCAAGCTCATCAAGTTCCGATGGAGTAGACTTGTGAGTTGATTTTCCTCTGTCAAGAATGGCTTAATGAAAGTAATACAATGTCAAAAATTACTTTGTGCTACGAAGGTTAAATGATAACAGAATCCAGATATATATATAATTGATCTAACAATCAAGATGGAACATTTGTGAGTAAAATGTCAAATAGTTATGAGCTTTAATATTTTAGCTTGAGCTTATGAAATCACAGATGGCAGCGAGATCTATCAGCTAGGATCACGAAAAGACAAACTTATATTTAAAGTAGATAAACCAAAATGACTAGGATAATTGAAGGCAAACGAAAGTCGACTAGCCTTGCATCAATTATGCATACTGTTGCTTTTTTTCTTAACTTCAAGAATTTTCCCAGTGTCCAATCAAAAATAAAGCTAAGATTAACCAAAAATTAGAAACGAAGAAAATGAATTAAGAAAGTAATTGCACTAAGAGATATAAAACGAAAAGGATATAATGAACAAAATTCTAAAATCTCGGACCGATTTAGAAACTGCCGCGAAAGCTTATATAATTAAGTCGAGGATATAATAGTTGCTATACCCAAAACCAAAAGCACGTGTAAATATTTCAAAAATCATGTGTAAAAGATTTTATTAAATAAATAACTGCTGAATCAGAGTTCTCTACAACCACATTCATCTATCAGCAAAAGCATAAGGAAGCCATAGAATAAACAAACAAGTGAAACTAAATAGACAATGATAGGCTACAAGCTTTAGCTGGGAACATAGCCAGTCACTATTTGTGGCTTCGCGTTTCGTGAAATCTTCTCATATAATGGTTACATGCTCTTTCGAGGTCTATGAGATTATCGACCAAAGCTCAGCAAGGATTCATCAGAATCGCAGAACGGCATGTTGAGGACTTTGGGGATCAAGCCATATGACACAATGTCAAAGCGATTTTCCCTCAGTTACGAGTGTGGCCAATTTACGAAACCAACTCAGATTTTAAGACAACTAAAAGGTACATAATAAATGATGGACAGACCCAACAAGCGAACCCTTACTTAGTTCTCTTTTATGTCCATTTATTTCCTATTAATGTATTCCATTCAAGGGATCGCACGAAAATCTAGCAGAGATAAAAGTTTCATAATGCCGACTCACTTATTTCAACATTCTTACTCCATACCAAAGTGTTCCTCATAACCTAATTCTTGATTATATTAATTTATTTCATTTATAAATCAAAATATTTTCACCTGCTCTCCGAAATAGAAAGCTAGATATATGAGAAACGTGCATTCTAAGAGGCCGGGGGCATGACAGCCAATTCTCGAACATGAAAAAATAAATATTACTTATTAAAACAAATCATCGGTCTGTAGAACGCACTGTCCATCTAAGTCATCAATTGAATGTGTAAGGAAGACAATTTCCTAAATTCAGCAGAAGCATGTTTCAAGAACATTAGTAATTGTTAAATAAGAACCCTGATTACCTTAGGCTGCTTAAGACGAAGGATGATAAAACCTTTTGGAGGACAAATCTAAATTAATGGCAGTAGCATCCTAGGTCCTAATGATTTTATTTTCAGAAAATCTAGAAATCAGTCCTTAAGGTGTTCACTCTAAGTCGCATAAGGTAATGAAAGACTGATAGCTGAATTTTCCTACAATGCTATGAGTAGGCCTTATGATGTCATTAAATTTCACTGTTTTACCCAAAAAAAGGCAGTTTCGTCCTAGATAGACCTCAGTTTTGATCCCATATGGCTATCATCGGTGCTCACAACTTAAATCCAACTCAGAAGGCGCAGTGCTTATTTTCGATATGTAACCATTAAACTATATTGCCTTGAGTGCCAATGAGCCATAGGCCAGACGTGACTTTCAGGACAAGGCAAGTCTCTTCCATCTCACATTTTATAGTGAGCCAATTTGTGCTTGCTATAACAACCAACTATATTACATGCATTCAAATAGAGTAAACTTCAAGTAGGTCTCACGATGTCATTGAATTTCACTTAGCCTTTTCTCCCAAAATATATTCGTATTCAGGATGGAATGCAGTTTCGACCTCAACACGCTTAATGTAAATCGAACCCAAGAGGTTTATCGTAGATCTAAATATATAATTATGGAGAAATTCAATTATCAGTCACTTATTACTTTATGTGATAAAGGATGGATACAGTTTGTCCAAGATCTACAGATAGAGAGAAATCCACTCTACTACAATATAAGTAATGTAAATGATTGTAATACGAAATGCAAGTTTGCTTCATCGACATCTCCACACAAAGAATGTGATTTTAGAGACTTGGTTTGCCTTGAAAGTCCAATTTACTCCAGAATAACTAGCACACAAAGGATTGTGAAGTGGTGGTAACATGTCGAAAGTAAACGCTGTACTGCACTGATACAATTTCCATTAGAATGCTGATGAGAACCAGGCCAAATAGAAGCTGTAATCTACGCTGAGTGAGAGCACCTAATAGGAGAGAGGTCTAAGTGAAATTTAATGGCATCGTTAGGCCCACTCAAAGCATTGTGTTAAAATTCAACTCAACCTTTCATCACTTTATGCGACCTATGGCGATATCAGTTCTTATTCAAGATCCATGGTTAGTATAAAAACATACTCAATTTTAATGTCATTACATTGTCTTATGTGATATATGTAGTTGTCTATTTTCCATGAAAATCAACTTCATCTTTGGAATGCAGAAGAAAAGGAAGGAAGTCACCTGAATTTATTAAATCCTGCTCCTAAGATTCTCTCCCTCAGGATGGATCGCCCTGCGTAGGTCTAATCAACATTCTCGATTGGATTATATAGCGGGTCATAGCAGTCGTAGCGAAGTTATAACCCCACTATATAGGAAATGGTGCAATATCCAAGGGTATGTATGAAATTAAAGGCAAGCCAGGCGTTTCACAATGTCACAGTGCTTACAATCTGGTTACGAATCCAGAAAAAAGTAGTGATGAGACCTAAACGATGTCGAAATTGGATGATAACCTCTTGGGATGGAAGGCTAGATAAAATTCAACAGAATTGAGAGTAAAATACATATGAGACTGGAAAATCCCAACTATTACTGTTTAGAGGTTGTTTGACCTTGTTTTCGCAACATGGTCATATTGGTAGGAAGACTTAGAGGAACGCACCTAGTCTGGAGTCTATTGTCTGCATGATCATTTCCAAAGTTGAACCGTGGACGTAGTACATTCCCGAACGCTTCGCCGGCATCGTAGTCGGCATCGTCAGTGAGCATCGCCATTCTTAGTCCCATAAAACAACGCGTCAAAGATACAAGTAAAGCCGATTCTTTAACCAAGCGTGTGCTAAACAATTATGGTACCTCCCCTTCTGCCCTGGGTTATTCGCGTTTCCGGTATCATTCTATCATGCCATCACTATTACATTTTTATCGTGTTTATTTAGATATAGTGTGGTGTGTTGCTTTAAGCGACATGAAACCTCCACACTCCAACTGTCGTTCTCCCCCCTCCTTTCATCCTTGTGTAGAGAATGTTGATCAGAGTCTGCTTTATTAGTATGCAATCCTCTTTCCTAGCCTTATCCTAATCTCTCTCTTGATCCGTAAAATCCGTCTGCTCTACACCTTGTTCACCTATTTCACTCGACTCCTGCAACCACATCTGTCCTACTCGAGGCGTTATTCGCCCTCCCCTGTGTCTGGGTGACTATACGAAGAAAAATTGGGTTTCGAGGAATCTC